TAACACGCTTTATTCACACATGTTGAAAAAAATTTTATTTCTCTTGTCTGAGCAAAAGCCTATTATGCAGAACGTGAAGCCACTTACGGAGACCATGTCTTTGAGGTCATGTGTGTAAAAACATTCTGTATAATATAAATATTCTACGCAGTATTAAAAATAGAGGTGTGTTGAAATATGTAACAGTTTCAGATGATTTAAGGCATATTGTACATTAATCAAGTTACATGGTATTAGGAGTTCAAATTACTCCCAAAAATTATGCAATTTTTTGTACGTACAGCAGTTTTTTGAAAAAAAAAAAAAATAATAATAAATACATAAATAAAAAATAAAAAACACAGAGAAGGTTAAGGCTTATTTGGTAAACAAACGATTGAATATATTTTATTTGACTGTTGTTACTACTGCATCGGAGTTCCTTAATACTTCGTGCAGTCATTTCCAGTGATTACTTAAATTACACAAATGAGTTTGTGGCCTGTAAGGGGTTGCGGTTTCAGCTTTCGTTGTACCTCGCTCCTTAGCGTAGTCTGATATTATTGATACTCTCGAACTACATCCGAGTTGCCTCAGCCAACACGTTATGCCTTACGTGTATAAAGTACTCGCGAGTCGTGGGAGTCAAAAGTAGACTATGAGCACAAAAGAAATTCATCCGTCCAATTCATGCTAGATGTAATGTGTACATGCTTAAGCTCATATGGCAAGCAGAACTTATACGTCATGGTGTGTGTATGCGTGTCTGTGAATTTCAAAGTGCATCTTTTACGTGCGCATTTGCTTATCAATCCAGTGACTCATAAACGTCAATCGTATACGTAAGCGTAACAACGTCTCTACTGGAAGTATGAGTTGCATTATTCGCTGTGAGGATGAAGACCAGCAGCGCTCCAGCAGATTTTTCCAAAACCTAAACGTACCGTGAGCCAGTTGTTGTGCCGTAAAACATACGGACTCGGTGACATAAATATTCATAGCAATTAATTGAGAGCTCACGGTGCTCTGCACTTTTAATACATTAATGTTTGTGTATTGAGTAGTCCATAAAACATTTTTTAATCCATCTCAGGGCTGTGTATTACCAACAAATATGAAGGGCGAAGCCTAGAAACAAGCAAGCTATATGAATATACACGAATGCCCGAGCAGAAACAAAAGCAGACAGAGAGACAACCTCAAGCGTTTGCTTTCGTTGATAATGACTTGCACGTATGATTATAGGATTAGGTAGTTGCTGACCAGACATCTTTAATAGAGTTTTTAATTGTTGAATCATTGGTTAATTATCTTAGTTAATTCAACTTTATTTTACTTCGGCACTGCACATAAACGTAAATACACTGAAAAAAATTCAGAGTTAATGCGGATGACACAAAAAGGTTATGGGTGTATACATGTGTATATACGTGTGTCTCTCCGTGTGTGGTTGTTGACTGCAGCCGCTGTACCAACGATGGCCACGACTGTACACAGTGTGCACTTTGCTTTTTGTAATTAAAGCAAAGACATACTAAAGTTACTGTCAGCCAATTATTAAATTTTTTATAAATAACTTATTGCACTAACTTTCATATATCAAAAGTGCAGAGTACCGCAAGCTCCCAATTAATCGCAATAAATATTTATGTCACCAACTTCGTATGTATAACGGCATAATAATTAGCTCATGACACGTTCAGGTCTTCGGAAAAATCCGCTGGAGCGCTGCTAGTCTTCATTTTCACAGCGAATATTATGCTGAAATGTAATGCAGCAGCCTCGTTGTCAGAGTGCATGTATATACTAAAGTTTTACGTTATGTATTTATGCATGCATGCATGAATTGTGTTGTGTGTTTAAATAAATAGATTGTTTTTACGTATATTGTTAGATCCTCATAATGTATACCACTTTGAAAATTGTAACCAATTCATTGTTTCACAACACTAAAAATCAGTAGTAAAATTTTCAAAAGAATTGATTGCAAAATTTGTAAACTTATCAGTCAAGTCTAAGCTTGTATTTAGTATTTCTCTTATTGCTGATGCGAGCTTGCATCATCACTGATCAAAAAATCTTAACCACTCCTGTCAGAAGAATGCGATTGGTACTGTTGTATTATTATTTCCTAGTGCATAAAATCGCAACAAAGCATAATTATATTCCAACTTACTGTTTAGCTATCAACGCAGTTTCTCAAAAATATCGCTCATTGGTTGACCTTATTCAACCAAAAGTCTCTTTAACCTTACTCTGATGCTAAAAAACAGGTTCCATCAAGTGCAAGAATTACTCTTTTTACGTCTTTCACCTGTCTTCTAAAGTTGTAGTCAACTCTTAACTTTCGCATTCCGAGAGAACTTTATACACGTAAAGTATAACGTGTTGGCTGAGGCAGCTAGCATGTATTTCAAGGACATCTATAGTTTTGGACTACGCTATGGAACAAGGTACAGCAAAGGAGGCTCACCGAAAGTAGTTCGGCAACAGCAGAGAGAGAAGAAACCGCAACAACTTTTTTCTGGTCACGATTTTATTCGTGTAGTTAAAGAAACTGCTGAGAAATACTGCATAAAGCACTAGGGAATTTAGCTCGAAGGAGAAGTACAAACCATTAGTGATAGATATCAGTCATATAATTAATACTAAACTTTGCTAGTGTGACCCAATAAAATGTGATTAAATGAATAAATTATTTAAATTTTGTTTAATAAAAGAATACAATAGAAAAATTTTATTCTTATAATATAAATTAAGAATTTTCATCCAATTAAAAGAAACAAATAAAGCTTACGAGATTAATACTAAGAGACCCACGAACAACACTATAATAAAACGGTTAAGACCATTCTCTAAAGAAGTCCGGTCATAACACTAGCATCTTATTTTCAGTAAGTTAGTGAACATTTGTTTTAAGCTCAAGCCAACTATAGCATCAGAAGTAGAAGTATTAATTTAAATGTACTTCTAAAATCTAGTTTTAGAAAAAAAAATGATTTTCTTTCGTAAAATAATACAATTTTTGTTTGTTTTTAAAAAGATATCTGCCAAACATTTCAGTTAAGTTTTGATTACTATGTTTTAACATGATCGGTTGAATTAGAAAAGAAAATTGGCAGACTCAAATTTTTTATTTTAAGTTATTCCAAACTTACTCTGTCGTTTGTTTATTAAAAAAAATGTTACCTTTCATTTAAATCTTAATCTTTGAATACTTTTGGCGAATTTCAAAGAAAAAACAAGTAGTTTGATGTGATCATATAGTTAAATTTAAAAAAATAGATGTATAAATAACAAGATCCTAATCTTTAGCAAATAAAAATTTTTGCTAGCAACGTTTCAAAAATTTGTCTGGTTATTTGGTTTTTCTGACCATGTTTTTTAGTGACAGTTAAAGCAGAAAAATTAGTATTGTGAAAGAAGAGTTGAAAATCACTAGCATGAAAATAAGCTGCAAGGCTTATTGTAATGTATGAAAAAACCTGGTGATCAATAAAATACTTAGCAAAAAAATATGCGTCAGAGTCTAAGTGGACAAGTGTGATCAATCTGAAGGTTAATCTTTGGCTACGTTTATTTAGTCTTAAGGACATTTATCACAGTTAGAGGGGAAATGTAGAGAGTGCAGTGAGGGCGAAGCGAGCATGCGGCAGCGCCGTCAACTGTTTTGAATGCATTTGTATACCTATATACAGGCGTCTGACACTGTTTTTTTTATTTAACTGCAAAAGTAACTTGTCGAAGATTGTACAGAAAACGCTATGTGTGATGAACGTCCTCAAGCCAGCAGTGCAATTACTTCAGGGTAACAACTGTGAAAAAAAAATTTGTAAACAAAGTCACAGCAAAAATTTAACAAATAAATTGCTGCAAAGTCTGCTTTATTGTCTAAAAATTATCTTAAGATATGATGTTTTGCTACTCTGACTTAACTAGCGTGTCAGCAGGACTTTTGTTTCTTTTCAATGGCTATGACAGAAAAAGTAGTTGTTGGAAAAAGCAGCAAACTATTAGTTTAAAGAATATTCAACAAAGCCTGTTTTGGAAAGTGTAAAAGACCCAGAGATAAAGCGTTAACTACGCTTAATTTAGCGTTTACTTACCAGAAGAATAGTGTATTTTAAACAGTAATAATGAGAGCCACAACTTAATATTAAGAAGCATGATTATGTCAAATAATTATAAACAATGTAGTATAAAGAGTTGTAGAAAATATTAATTTCCCAGTCAAAAGATGGAAAGAAATAGCAAAAAATTATCCCAAAATGTCTAAGTGAACATACATAATAAGTATGGTGACATATTGGTAGCTACGCTCATGTTTTAACTCAGCAGGACTATTTTTTCTTGGTAATGGATACGGCCAATAAATTTTTTTTTTCTCAACGCAAATATTCGAAAAAAAATGTTCCACAGAGACGTAAGTATAAGATCCACAGATACAGCATTAATAAAATGGACTGAAAATGTTACTTTTCGGGATAGTGGAGTTTTATAAATGGTTATGGTAAAAAATCAATTTATGTTTTAAAAGACCGCAAACAATATACTAAAAATATGGTCAAAAATAGCAAAAAGTTAGTGAAAAATACGGTCCAAGTTTTAGTAGAGATTAGCCTAGGATTTGGCTACGCTATCTTTACAGATACGCGCAAGCCTTATATACATTTGCTATACTCTATTTACACTAATTTACTTGCTGTAAGCGCGGAAGTAAGTACAGAGCTTTCGGTAGTCATGCAAGATTAACTGATTATTTCTTCAATACCACCAGAACTGCAAGACTGCCATGCAATAGCTGCAAGATGATACGTAAGTTTCTCACTGTACCCAGCACTGCCGTTTCGAAATTATTGTTCTGATAAAACTGCTATATACATTTTTTAAGGAAAAAATTTTTGAGCAGATAACTACCTTAAGCTGCTGTTAAACTGAAAATTTTTCCTGCCACAGTGTGAAAAAGACTTATTAAAATAAAAGAGATCGTTGCACATTTAAAAAAAAGTTTGTTTTGCTACTTACACGTAAGCAGTCTTTGAATTTTTATTAAATCTAATAGGTGTGACATCCGCGTAAGTCTCATCAAATGATAATGCAACATTAATAGCAGTTTCGTGAGAACTATCCAATGCTAGCAGTCTCGGCAAATCTTTGTAACTGTCTGGACCAGCTATTACGTCAATCATTTTTTCTTCTTCAACTATTTTGTGCTTCAATCGCTCAGCCATGCATCCTATTTTCATATTTATCAACAGACTTAAAAGATATACGTCAGAAAACCAAAAATTAGTAAATTTATGTATACCTAAGAGACCGATTTTGGAAATAAACCGTTTTTTTTTAAGAGATTTAAGTATCTGCAGTTTATTCCATACTTTTTGTTCTGCTCCATCTCGTATAGCACATGTGACTAGCAAAACAATATCAGCATCTACTATAGCATTACTCAGATTATAGTTATGTTCTCTTAAAATTCCTGAAATTATTTCAGCATCATTTACATTCATCTGACATCCATATACTTCCAAGTAAACTGAAACAAAGAAAATATTTAATCTATAACACAGTACCAAAAAAAATGTAAAATACAAGACATGCAGTATACGTAGTTTTGTCTTAAACTCAAAGCTAACCTTAGTTGATTACTTAACATTTACAAATAACAAAAAAATAAAACAAACGTACTTATACGCGTACTGCTTCAGCCTTGTTGTCTAGTACTGCAATGGCTCATCTCATAAGAAATGTGCGACGTAACGATGTACTTGAATTGTACTTACAAACTTAAAAAATACGTAGTTCATATATTGCTGTTTACAGAACGGTACAAATGTATCTTCAAAGAGAAATGTAAGAATCTTGCAATCTTATCACGTAAGTTGCTTTCAGTTGTATTAAACAAACGTTAATTCTCATTCTCACAAGTGATTTAAATCAACTGTTTTATAGAAAACTACAATGATGGAAAATTAATGCACAACAGCACCTGCAATTAACTTAAACTGGCTTAATTGTCCAAAATTAAATACTAAATAAGAAAAAATTTAGTTGGCTGAGCAGGACTATTAATTATTACAAAAAATTACAACTGTCCGATATTTCAGCAATTTAGTAATGCCATTATAAGGGATTTCTTACTATAAAAAATAACGTGAGTGGTTGAAAAATGACATTGCACCACCAAACTCCGCGGCCCAACAATATAATAACAATATTAATGGCATACTAAAAACCGTCTGTTTAACATACATAATGAGAATCTTTCTTACGAGCAGCATTGGCTCAGTGGTAAGCGTGCTTGTTACTGATATAATCATGTTCTAGGGATCGTGGGTTCGATTCCTGGTGAATACAGATTTTTTCAAAAACTGTTTTCATCGGAAAAAGTTCCTATGTAACCCCGGCTGTTTCACGGCGGGTTTTTCAGCAGAATTTTCCTTCAGAGTAATTCCAGAGTTTTTTCCTCACCTCACAGGTCTTTGGACCTGGGTGAATGCGAAACAGTGTTAGGGCTATATGTAGAAATTAGCGGATCCGATGCGCCAGGTAGGGATCGCCGGCCTTACCAGCGAGGAGTGGTCCTTGAAACATGGGGCTTCTCCGGGGATACTAATTAGCCTGGATCCAATGCTTNTTAATTCAGCCTCAAACTTCCCTTTATTCGCCTCTATCAAACTTCGCCCCCACCTGTCTCCACAATTAAGATCACTTTATTGGTCAAGGACTTTCTACGAAGTTAATTCAGTTATCTGCAGATTGTCTTAATTCTTTACACCAAGAGAAAATTTACGGGTTTACCGCATGGAGGGTATCTGGTTGTTAGCACATGCAGCCTCCCCATGCGTCTCAAACGCGAAGCTGATGCGCTGGATGCCAGCCAGGGCTTGTGTTAAAGCCCGTTGAGTAATACATTTTATCAACACATATGAGTACACGGCTGCGAACCAAGAAAAGCCGTAGCCGAAACTCATCGACTACGTCCGAGCTGAAAACGCAAGGAGCGTGATGGGTTTAACGCATGGTGGCTCTTGCGTTTTGGGTTTCAGCTGATGGTTGGCGCAAGAGTTTGCTATATACGTATATGTATACATGTTATGTATATGATTCTCAGCCTTTCCAGGTTTTTTTAAATGGTTAACGTAATATATACATTTATAGTTTATATATTAACAAATATACGTACTAAGTGCAATTTCGAGATGTGCATTGTGTACCAGTGACAAACAGTGTAACAGTTTATGCATCTCATCGCAGATCATTTAATTTGGTACGTAAGTATGTAAATATAATGCATTTGCACAAAATTTTTAATGTTATGGTATTTCTAACCAAAAACATCAGAAATAAGTTTACACACACACACACACACACATATATATATATATACTTATATGTACATTAGAATAGGCAGTAATAATTAATTTGTCAAACATTTATTAAAAAATATCTTATTGCAACAACACTTATCTTGTGTCGGAAACGCAAACGTACATTTTAAGTACGTCGATAGCTCTTTAGAAATAATCTGTTGGTGTATTGGTTTGACACTTACAATTATGTTATGTTTGATTGATATAGGCTCCTGTGTACATGATTTCTAATTTACTGAATTGTTCTGGTCATAAGCGCTCAAGATATTTAATTCATCATGGTGTTTTTGGTTAGAAATACCACAACATTGAAAACTTTGTGCGAATGCATCATCTTTTTATACTTACGTACCAAATTAATGATTTGCGATGAGATGCATAATCTGTTACACTGTTTGGCACTGGTACACAATGCACATCTCGAAATTTCACTTAGTACGTATATTTGTTCACATATACGTGTATAGCAAACTCTTGCGCCAACCATCAGCTGATACCCAAAACGCAAGAGCCACCATGCGTTAAACCCATCACGCTCCTTGCGTTTTCAGCTCGGACGTAGTCGATGAGTTTCGGCTACCTACTCTATCTATAATATCTCTATGCTTTTCTTGGTTCGCAGCCGTGTACTCATATGTGTTGATAGCATGTAACACTCTACGGGCTTTAACACAAGCATTGGCTGGCATCCAGCGCATCAGCTTCGCGTTTTAGACGCATGGGGAGGCTGCATGCACTAACAGCCAGATACTCTCCACGTGGTAAGCCCGTAAATTTCCTCTCCGTGTATAATATCAGTAAAAAGGGGTTGGAAATGGGTGCGACCATATACCTTCACACATAGGAGGTGAGCGGGTGGCCCTAGCGACGTGGTCCAAGAGCTGTCACGTTAACCTAAGAAAAAAAAAATAATGAATAAATAAAAATCATTTTTAAATAAAACTCAACTAAAAATCACAAAAGAGGTAAAAAGTCATATTGCAAAATATACAATAAGGTATGAGTCGTATTAAGTATAAATACTGAATGCAGTCTTCATACTTCATAATTTTTTACTAAGTTTCATTGAAGAAAAATTTTTAATATGTATGTCAAACATACGTTATTTTTAATATAGCATGCATATTGTAAATATATTGTTGGGCCACGGAGGTTGTTGGTACAATATCATTATTCTACCACTCACGTTACTTTTTATTGTAAAAAGTCCCTGATGATGGCATTACTAAATTACCGAAATATCAAACGGTTGTAATTTTTTGTAATAATAAATAGTCCTGCTCAACGAACCGAATTTGTTTTTATTTAGTATAGAAAATTAATATTTTCCATTGGATCAGATCTAGCATAGGATTCTCATGTTAAAAAACATTTACTTTTAACCTCAGAAACACTTTTTAATGATGCTTATGAATGTTGTTTTCCTGATGTATTTTAAGTTTTAAACTCATTTTAGGCTACGATATAACTTCTTGCATAATCTTGTAAAATTATACAAACGCCGTAGAAATATTTCCAAAAAGAAAAAATCGATGGCTTTACACAATTAAAAAAAAAATAGATTCATACCAGGAGCATTTGCAAAATTTAAAAAAAAATTATATAGTTATAAGTTTGGAGATTCAGGCAAGACACTAAATTAACCATAAATACTTTTTGTGCCGCAATTTTTAATAGCCTCATCAGCACTAAAAAACGGTGATTCTTTCCCAAAAGAACACATAACCTTATACAGGGTCCTGATTATTTATCCTCTTTTTTTTTAACACAAACATATGTTTGACAAATGTGATAACTTTTTATAATGTAAAGTACCACTTTTTAATCGAAAAATACTATTCTAACGACTTCATGTTAGAAAAAGAACTTTTACATAAGAGTGTCTGAATGAAAACTGATAACTAAATTTTAGCAGCTGTAGTGAACATTAATTTCGTTGTTACTTTTTGCCTACATAACTTATAACTTGGTTTTTCTGAGTTGTTTTAAAAAGATAGTAGATTTACCTTTGAAAATTGAAAAGACTGAAAATATTTTATAAATTAGTGCTCAAAATTTGTAAAATTCAAGGAATAAAAAAATGATGCGCCAGGTAGGGATCGCCGGCCTTACCAGCGAGGAGTGGTCCTTGAAACATGGGGCTTCTCCGGGGATACTAATTAGCCTGGATCCAATGCTTTGACAGAGAGTGCCCGCTTAACCAGCGAGGAGTGGACGTCCTGAAATATGGAGACCTCTCCGGGAAAAGACTACACAGTGGCGAGTGGACCCGATGCACCACTGGTAGAGAGAGTGTCAGCTTGACAGGCAAGGTGTTTCACCGGAGATACTCATGCTGTGCCCATAGATTAGGTACACGGAGAGGAAATTTAGGGGTTTACCACATGGAGGGTATCTGGCTGTTAGCGCATGCAGCCTCCCCATGCGTCTAAAACGCGAAGCTGATGCGCTGGATGCCCACCAGTGCTTGTGTTAAAGCCCGTAGAGTGTTACATGCTATCAACGCATATGAGTACGCGGCTGCGAACCAAGAAAAGCCGTAGCCGAAACTCATCGACTACGTCCGAGCTGAAGACGCAAGGAGCGTGATGGGTTTAACGCATGGTGGCTCTTGCGTTTTGGGTATCAGCTGATGGTTGGCGCAAGAGTCTGCTATATACGTATATGTGAACAAATATATGTACTAAGTGCAATTTCGAGATGTGCATTGTGTACCAGTGACAAACAGTGTAACAGTTTATGCATCTCATCGCAAATCATTTAATTTGGTACGTAAGTATATAAAGATGATGCATTCGCACAAAATTTTCAATGTTGTGGTATTTCTAACCAAAAACATCAGAAATAAGTTTACACACATATATGTATATATATAAATATACATATATGTACGTTAGAATAGGCAGTAATAATTTATTTGTCAAATATTTATTAAAAAATATCTTATTGCAACAACACTTATCTTGTGTCAGAAACGCAAACGTACATTTTGAGTACGTCGACAGCTCTTTAGAAATAATCTGTTGGTGTATCGGTTTGACACTTACAATTATGTTATGTTTGATTGATATAGGACCCTGTGCACATGATTTCTAATTTANAGTTAAAAAAAGTTACTTAATTCAATGAGCAATTTAGTAACGTATATAATTGAAAATTAAAATAATTTAGTAAACGAACAGTATTTAAATGTACATATAACAGTGACATACGAATCACAGCATAAAAAAAGTAAGAGGTTTTATACTGTCAGCATCGTTCGTGTAAGAGTGGGTAGGATACTTGTCTTGCGTGCAGAAGATCACAGGCTCAATTTTTGTAGAGAACTTTTACTTCATTTATTTATTTAATAATGTATTTATTTATTTTTTTTGAGAATAGAATAGGAAATAAAGAAACAAAATTCAATAAAAATCAAATTTGGCTTTCGTCAGATATGCACTTTGGTGAGTCGACGTGAGGTGGTTTGGCGTAGTAATCTTATAAATGTGGTGTGATAAGGTGGGGTAGGTAGGGCAGAGCGTGGAGCATCTAAGAAATAGGGAAGTAACGTGCAAAATTCACTTGATTTACGTATTTTCTTAAGGTCACAAACCTGAAATCGATGATTTATTTTGTAGCAGTGAATTTGCCGATAGAAGTATAACTTGAAAAAACTAATATATGTATTTATTTTGAAGTTATAGATCTTAAACAATAACCAAAAAAATGGAAAAATGAATGTATCAAGACCACTTGAAGAAATGCTGAAGTACTATTGACCGTATAAGTAAGGGTGTTTACACTCATACACTCACATACATCAACATATACTTTTAAAAATTTGAGTTTTTTGTCACAAGTTTAATCGTTTTTTTTCTAAATTTTTAATATTCAAAATGCTAAAAGGATGAATAAACGCTAAAAAACGATTTTTTTTGAAAACTTTTCTAAATATTAGTAAAATCAAACTAATAAAAAAAGCAACAGAAGAAGTTTGAAAAAAAAAATTTAAAAAACAACTTTACACACCAATTAAAAATGTAAGCATACGTGTGCGTATTTACCTAAACACATTAAACATGATGTGAAATTCATAAGAGTTTAATGAATACGTCGGCGCATATTCACGAAAATCAAAGGAGCAATTTCAGAGTCAGGGTCAATGTCAGTATTCCGTTCGTATGAAATTTATATACGTACATCTGTATATACTTAGACATGTAAGTCTATAAAAATAATATATAATTTGTAAACAGCCAATAATTTATATAAATAAATACATCTAATTATTATCTGCGTTGTACAAGCTATAAAGGTTGTAAATCCGTTACCCGTATGTATAAAGTATTGCTGCTGCTGCTGCTGCGCCTATTCGCTAAATATATAAGGACGAGTAAGGATAGGAATAAGCGGAGTATGAATCTGGTTGTGTATAAGAATTCATTTGCTAAGTGTAGGTAGACTATATGAAAGGCTCTGTATAAGAGAGTACTAGAGAGAACAAGGGTCTCGGCTCAACTGACTTTTATACTTGACGTGTTATTTTTTACATCTATTACATCCTTACACGCACACACATACATAATCGCTTCTAAGCTTACACCGAAAAGATAACATTGTATAACAGTTCCCTCCCTCAATGTTAGCAAGGTTAATTAATTTTTTAACAACATTAAATTACAAGTCCAAACATTTCTCTAAGCTTTTAAAATTTAATTCTACCCAACGGCTTTGTTAAAGCTGGTTGCTCATTTGATTAAATATATTTCAATACAATTTTTTTTTCAAAAAACTTTTCTCTAACAAATAACATTTTAATATCTATATGATTAAGTTTATGGTGAAACTAAGGGTCCTTGCCAAGGCTTGTTACTGCCATGTTATCCTTATAAATTACTACGCAAGTTTGAATATTTTTCAGGCTACAATATAAATTTTCAAGCCAACAAGCTTCGCTTGCTACTATACTTAGAGCTACGAACTCTGATTCAGTCAGTGACAGAGAAACAGAACACTTTTTCTTAGATATCCATGATACGCTACAATTAGGAATTTAAAAAAAGTAACTACCAGTAAATCTCCTGTCTATATCGTCATCAGCCCAATCAGAGTCGACGACCCCAACTATAACATCGATACAGTTTTTGTTCCTAGCAAACACCAGACTCATGCTCATCATCCCCTCAATATAGCGTAAGAGACGTTTTAAAGTGCTCCATAATTCTTCACTTGCACATGACTGGTATCTGCTAAAGATATTTATAGCAACACATATATCTCGTCTAGAACACAACATAGAATACATCAATGAGCCTATCAGTTTTCTACATTATTCTCGATCTCTTCGCTTTCAGATTTTTCTCGTTTTAACGCACTGTGATCAAAGTTGTCCTCCTTGTTGCCGATGGCTGCCACGGGAACTGTTTGCTTCCGTAAGACTTAACATGGGTTGGGGGTATGAAATAAGGGCAGCTCAGTGTATGCACGGAGCCAATTTATATATATATTTTTTTTTATATTATAGTGCTTTACGTCCGGCTCATATAAAGGGCACTACACAGGGCACTTAGCACTTGGGAGAAGGAAGGGAAGAGGGATGGGAGGCCTCACAATACTGGGAGGGGGGTAGGGGGAAATTAGGCAATTTTGCTGCGAGAAGGTCGCCTAAACCCTCCTCGAGGAGCATTGCGTGGTGAAAAAGCACATGTGAATAATCACAGAGGTACTTGCCCGAAAAAGTCGTACTATGGCCGGGAATTGAACCACGGTCTCCCGCGTCTCAATCCACGACCTAGTCGACTGAGCCACCGCGCGCTCATAAAGTCAATATATATAATTGCTCATAAGATTACACCAAGAAGACAACACTGTATAACAACAAGATAACCATAAAAATCTCTCCGCACTTCGTTTTGCGCGCATATGTGCGGTCTAATACTAGGCTTTTTCTGGCTCGAAATTGAGTCAGATGCAACGAAATTTCGGTGGAGGTGTAAGGAAAAATTAGATTATTCAATTGTTACAAGAAATAATTAATAAAAAACGAAAAACAAAAACAAAAGAAAAACTAAAGCAGAGTTTGGTAAGTAATACGGCGTAATAGTTAAATTAAAAAGTATAAAAATATAGTATAGCGATAGTGAACGTGGTCACGATTATTGTGAGATACATTGATCTATATCGTTTAAAACAACAAAAGGTGTTAGTACTCGTGATGGCTGGGGTTGAATTGCGTCCTTTACGATAACACTAATGACTTCTATGGTTGAGTTGCACCCTTGTTGATTTTATCTTAGGGCCGTGTTCTGTCCCGGTCATTAAGCCGACGAGTCATAATAAAGACTAGCGAGTTAAACACAAATGCATTTCCCGTACAACATCTGGAAGTACGAGCCCCGTTAAATGGCGCTGATATTAATCTCAAAGTTATACTAAGACTACGTGATACAGAGTGGCAAGTAGAATCTTGTTTACAATTTAAGTAGGTTAATACTATATTATTATTAATGTTTATCAAAATTTGAAGCATTACAATAAAAATATTTGAGTTAATTAAATATGTTAATGGTGAAGTTAAGCTTTTTAAAGAAGGAAGCATAATTTTAAATTCGAATAATATTTTACTACATGGTCGTTATAAAAACTGTAAAACAGTATTGTTTTATCATATAATTGGCAATTGCAAGGCCACTGGCAGAACTTTGGCATTCCAGAAGTATGGTAAAAGTAGCAACTAGGCCAGAAGCTACGCTGAAAAAACTGACTACTTTCGAGTGTTTTTTTAGAGAGTGCTCCACTCTCCTTCTTATTAATCTACTATCGTAAATCACCATTCTTTCAAAAATCCCGGAAAATTCATTGAGAACAAAGCACCAGCTGATCATGAAACCGTATAAGATTCCTCTGAAACTCTCTTTATTAAAATTAAACAAAATTTTAAGTGTGTTGTGAAAAATAGACGAATGAAGCTGTACTTGGGTCTCTCAAGCTTGACACAAGTGCAAGCATGTATACACACTTGTTTGTTGTCTTGACAGAGTCACAATCTACTTTTTTTTTTTTTTTTTTAGAACGAAGTTCTTTATCGCGGGTTACGATGGGATATATATTTCCTATGTATTTTCTGTATATAAGAACGGTTGATAACGGGGACCCATTAAACAGAAAGTGTAAGAAAAAAGTGTGCAATTCCATTTTTGCTCCCTAAAAAATAAAAAAAAACAAAACAAAAAAAAAGCCAAATTAAAGAAAATTTGATTAAGAATCGAATGTAACAAGAATTTTTTTAAACCGATCTTCTTTAAGGAAATAGAAGATCTTTTTTATTCCACAGACATACACACGACTCTTATACCCATCCAGGCCCAGGTGCGACAATCACATAACCAATAGGAAATTGGTGGTAAATTTGAACATTAAAATAAAAAAAATAAATAGAGAGAGCAAGCATGGAATACGCATATACGCGCATACCAAGTGGTTCACAAAAAGGTGTTTAAGGAGACTGTATGTGTGTTGGCACTCTTACTTCACTACGTATACATTATTACGCAATGTGCATATACTTTTGCACACTCACTTGTATAATAAAATTGAATGATAAAATTTTTTTATCAAATTCAAATGTTTTCATTTGTTTTTATAACGTTTGCATCAATACATTTTGTATTTTTATAATAAAAGTTTACGATATTTTTAACAAATTACTGCTTGCGTATTTCATAATTTGTTTCTTAAGGCATAAGAAAACAACGAAATAGTCATGAAAGAGAGTGTCTAGTTAAATCTGCAAAATGTGAGTCGTGTAAAGTGATACTAAATAGTATAAAGTTGAAGCGAGGTTTGAGGTTTGGATGCCGTACTACGAAAAAAGAAATGCCATACGCAAAAACTAAAGTGATCACTTGACTAGTTAGATGGTAATGCGTAATTAATTAGCAGATAGCATATTGATAATTACAAGGATATCACTCACAAATTATAATGTAAATATAGACGGCAAATACTTAATGCAGTGGGCGGTAAAACTAAAGAGAAAATGAACCGATTAACTTTACAAACTACCACGTGTTTGTATAACGAAAAAATGGGTAAGTGTCGCACAGACGTGCCTATCTCGACGATCCGCGGTGAACTGGCGCGAGGGCGCTCTGTCGTTACCTGAGTAAGTCGCTGCTCACTTTATATAGGTTGGTATCAGTTTCGAGTGCTTTAGTTTAAGTTAAAAGTAACACTTTAATCCTAAATAGCTCTGCGTAACTGTGATACTATATATGTCTGTGCTATCGTCATGGGCATAGTAAGAAGCCACCTAAATTTTATTGTAATACCGATAACTTACTCAGCAATAGAGACCTTATTTAACATGGCTTTCTAACTATTGAACCACAGTCAGATAACGTGCATGAGAAAATGAATTCTCAGAGGTGCGAGCCAAGTGAGTTAGAGCCGAGTCTCGAACCCGATGAACCTGCGTTACCAGGTATCCGAACCACGAGCTCTGCAGCCATAACCACTGGAGTACCGTGGTCCCTCTGTTATACACTTAAATTGCTGATTGATTTGGTCAACTCACCGTAATATTTTTTTATCAATTAAAAAATTTCCTCTTTAGGCTCCTTGCACTCTGACGATCCTCGTAAAGGACAATTTCTCTCACTCGGCACCGCCACCTTGATTAGGTGGATACCGAATAGAATATCGTGTAAGATCTCTTACAGGGATGCTCATGTTATACATAATATCAAGCAAGTTTTTCGGCACCTACAAAATATAACATAATAAACAAAATATAAAATCTGTAAATTCAAACAGGATTGGTTGAGTACCGACGGATCAATTTTTTTTTTAAAAAAAGCTACATTAGTCTCAAAAAGTCTTCAAATTATTTTTTTCCATTCAAATTTCTGTTTTTTAAAGCCCTTTCCAGTATGAAAAGTGCGAATATTCTATAACAAAAGTTTAGAAAGTTGTAAGAGTTCATCTGTAGGAAAAAACTGTTAATATCAAAAAAGTCGTTAAACAGTTAATCAGCGAAAACCAATGATTACGATAATTTACAACGGTAAATATATTTTAAATAGTTCTTTACATTTTATGGCCTAACTTCAGAAGTACAAAATAATTAGAAACCAGTCGACGGTAGGTGCTTTGGTACCTAAGTATGAAGTTATACTTCTATAAAATTATATGGCAAACAATATAATTATGAGTATAAAAATACCTTGTATGAAACAATGTTGTGTACAAAGGTGGTGGAATTATGGTGGCAATGAGTATACTACGTTGATTGTGTATATTTTAAATTAATATTGAATAACTGAACAATATTAAACAATATACTATGGCCAGTACAAGACTGTGCACTACCATCGAATCTTCCGATAATTTCAAAAGAACTTCCTACCACCAACGCTGATTACATCTGTAACATCACGCTCACATCTATCACATATGCTCCCACACTCATTTGTAGTCCATATTTAATACCCAAAAGGTAATTGTATCTAGAAAATTAGGAAAAATCATCCTGTAGTATCACTTTCTTCAATAGCATAGTAGTACATGCCAGTAAATGTTCCTCTGTGACGTTCATCACACACATACGGTTTTGACAGATTTAATTCAAATGTCAAACGTATATTGAAATGTAATAAAAAATATTCACAAAAACTGCAGCTCGTTTGACTGTACCATTTTTTTATGTATTTTTAATTTTAAAAAATCGATATTTAACATGTAATCTTATGAAAAAATGACTTTAAATCGCATTTATATAATTTGTAGGAATCTCCAAATTTTTTGGATACAAAAGATTACTTTTAGATAAACCTATTTAATTTTTAAATGAATCTATAAGTTTAATTTCAAACGAATTTAGAAAGAGGGGATGAAGTGTGCGTAAATGCATGTATGTGAGTACATCTACATGAGAAAAATACTTGCTAGCTTTACTGTACACATTAGCGTTCCTATGATTTCTCTGAACTTTCCCCCACAAACTATGTGAAGAACGGCCTTAGGTCAAAAAATCACGAACGAAAAATTTGTTAAAGAATAAAACACAACAAAAATTAATTATTGTATTTGTACAGTACAAAAAATTTTTTTGTAATTTTTGAAAATTTTGAAAAAATATGAAAGAATTGTATGAAAAATTATTTATTTATTCTATGC